TGTTTGTATGAACATAATCACAAGTAGTAAGGTCTTTTTCCACTCCATTCTGGAGGATACTGGACCAGGGGAAATTTTTGTACACTAGCAAGCGCGCATTTTCAACTATATTTCCCTTGTCAAAAAGGCGGACTTATCTGATGCCGGACTTATCTGTGAGATTTTAGGGTATTCGATATTCGATTACTTGGCGTTTTTGATTTTTGAGATTCGACATTCGGATATTCGACATTTTCTGTTTTTGAAAATACCGAAATTTCATTGTGCGATATTTTTGATTTTCGAATAAATTCAATAACTTAATTACTCAAAAAATTCCAATGTTTCAAAGTGTAGTGCATAGGCGTTGACACAGATGTACCACTCGCTTCGGACCATGGTGCTTTCTGTGCCACGCGACGCAACTCGTCCACTTTTTTAGCAGCTTCGCAAACTTGCTTTGCTCGAATTGAACATCGCGCGAGCGATTCAGAAGCCTCTACCCCTTTTCCTGCTCCGCATATCAGTCCGTTTCAGGACACATACTACGATGCCGTCGACACATTGGATATGCTGGGAATGGAAAACGCGATGAAAGCCATGGTTAAACTCGGCCATCCGGAGCTGGTTGAGCAATGCCGGCTGTACGAACGAGAGCTCAATAAGGAAGACGAACGTGCTGAGAATAGTGACGACGATGTTAATGCTCGAATGCGGTAAGTTTCTGGATATTCCGTGTGGTCGACTTCTGATTGACAATCTCACTTGCTTATCTCGCTGTCACATCTGAATTCCTTGTCTCATTGTCGGTATCGCATGAAACCGGCGAAATTTGGCGGAGTTGTATTCGGAATAGATAGCTTGCCTTCACTGCTATGCTTGTGCTGTCCATTTTCTGAATAAGCGTTCTTGTGGAAACACACAAAAATTAAATCAGTACGTACCTTCTGGAAGTTGAGTTATTACCTTTATGTACATTTCATATATTAGGTCAGTTCGAAAGTTTACGCCACTTTTCGGGGCAATCCTCATTTCCTTAGAGTAAAGAAAGGCTAGCGCTAGCACTCTATGTAACGTCTGCGGAGTCTCTTGCTCGTTCTTGTAACTTTGCTTCATATCGGTTTTCTTGACAATTGCTCAGATAGTCCACGATGTTTTCTACCATCATTTTACATTGTCGAACTCTAGCTAAGATAAGACTCATTGCATATCTCTGAAAATTCTGGAGACCAGTGAACCGAAATCTTTGCCGAACATTGCATTTTTTGCATCTCTCTACGTTTCATAATGGTTAACGTTTTTCGTTTCACTTAGACCTCGTGTCCTATTCAATGGGTCTTTTTTCCCTTTCCTACCTCTAATTTTTCTTCCTCATGTTCAGAGGAGAAATTGCCCGATCTCTTAATTTTGCAAGTGTTTACGGTTAGCACCAATTTCAGGATGATATTTCAAAGCGATGATCGCTCAGTCATTTCCAGATCAAATTTAGTCATTATGGGATTATATTCCAACCTCTGTTTACCAGAACTTTTTTTGAGTGTTTACTCAAACTTTTTCTAATTATCTCTAACCTCAGGATTTGATATTATGTTGAAAAACTCTGCAATTCCATTTGAAAAAATGCGATAGAAGCATTGCATTGCAAAAGCCCTGCTGTATGTACTGGTCACTGTCTCCTTCAGAAATGTGAACCGAAAATGTGGTGTGATGTAGAACGGAATTTGAGCTTCTTTTTTTGTCAAGAAGCCTTGACCGATATCTGAAGCATCGTGCTGAAGCCGATTGGTGCATACGTAACACTAATAGGCCCATAGTATTGGGTTGTTTTAAAAGTTCTGCCAGTTTTTTATGACACTTTTTGAACTGCCAATTCTGAAGAAACCATTTTTTATGAACACTGCTTATATCATTCAAAAGCTCTTTTCTTCTA